CCAGAACACGGGCAACGCTCACCCTCTATCTAATGCTATACCAGAGAGTGATTCCAACTGCTTCTCCCTCTCCCTGCTCGCACCCCACCCCGGCACCTCTGATAACACACCACCCAAGTGCACCACGGTGTCATCCAACCCCCCTCAGACCTTCTGCACGCAAAGAAGGACTATACAAGTGCTGAGGGACGTGGTTTAGTGGTGGGCTTGTCAGTGTTAGGTTAATGATTGGACTGGATGATCTTACAGGTCTTTTCCAATCTCAGAGATTCTGTGATTCTGTGAAAGATAATCGCTAAATTGTACAACAGGTTGGTCTCAAAACGGGGCTCAAACATTCCTTTGTGAGTATTCCTCCTTTTTCTTTATCTATGCAAACATTCAATAGAGTAAAGAACAGAATATCACAAAAAAAACCCCATACAGAGAATGAGATGGTTCAGGGAATTGGTAATGTAATTAGCTTAATCCATCTTGGTTCAGTAGTGATTGAAAGTCATCACCGTCTAGCAGCTGTCTGATGACCTCTGTAAAACGTATTAATTGATCTATTCAGTTCCTTGAGGACTTGCATTCACACCACAGCCCCCATTAACCATTACTATTTTTGGCAGCAGCTGCATGGAAGATAAAGGTCTTCAAGGGTCCTAAAGGCCTGATCCTTGTGCTGCTTCAGCCCCGTAGAAGTCTGAGACACTGGCAAAGGGGGAGCAAGAAAAGGAGTTTTCCTTTTCCTTCGAATGAAAATAAGGGCTTCAGGACTCCAGGATTCTCCTCCCATTTCAGCATCGCACTCCAATTTCGGTACAGCTCTCCCCGGCACGATGGAGGCCCCGTGTTTTACTTTCCTCCCCTGTTTTCCCTGTTCTTCTTTGGATAAAAGGGTCTACGAAAAATTCCTCGCCTCTTACACTCGCTTGCCAAAAAACTGAGGCAGAACACAATTAGCTAACCAGTTCATTTATTCAGTGGATTTCTTTGAGTAAATAAGACATTGCAGAGCCAACACAACATACTTCAAAGAGCTTCAATTAGAGGAAATGAGCACTTCACATTGTGACTAAAGGACACACTAGAGGAGAACGGCATTTTCATCAGGGTATGTTAGATCTACAGTGATAATCTAACTAAACGCCTTTCTTCTAATTATGGAACAACTCCAAAAAGTCAGGCTGTATGTATTTTCCCCACAGGGACACAGATAAAACATCCTGACATCTTCCAGTACCAGGTCTTTAGCTAAATCCAGTATCAGCTATGAAACAGTAAGTGAAGTACTGCAAATAAAAGACAGATTACAACATACAGTAACTTGGGCCTCTCTCATTTGCCTACTGGGGAGCAAACTAAATTAAAAGATGAATGTGAAAAATCAGCTTTTTAAGAAAAAGAAAGCAAGAAATAGGTTTTCCATCCCCACTTCAGATTAGGGCAGAGCATTTAAATAAGTACCCTGCGTGCATCACGAGTGCACCCACTAACTGCCTATTTTGAATAGCCACAAGACAGCGTTGTACCGGTGATTTTAGGACTTGTTAAAACGCCAAACGAATTCAGGGATACGGGGGATTAAATCCCGACCTTATTAAAGTTAATGTGCAATTCGCCAGCAGCTTCAAAAGGGTCTATTTCATCTTCTGTTTTTCAAACATTCTGCATTACTCAGGACACTTGTGAAGCGGCCGATTGAAGCACACAGTGAAAGTCGAAAGACCTTGATCAGCTCCGACTTACACGATCCCGGTTCAGTAAAGTATTTTATTGCTTCATACCTACATCTCCCCATCAGTACGGTGAAAATAACATTCGTATAAAACACCAAGATCCACCAAAGAAAACGTCCTGAGGTGTGTGGCACTACTCCTGTCATTTCACACCTTCTCTCACACCGGAGCGCTTCGGTGATAATGAGGTTCACGAACACTCAGGATAAACACAGTATTAAGCCTCTCTGACAGTTACAAAACACCCTGGAAGATGTATTCTCCTCCAACCAGCCATCAGCATCTCTTTTTTTAAAAAAAAAAAAAAATAATAAATATGTATTTAGCTTGGTTTCCTGAAGGAGAAAGGCTTCTACAGTTTTTGTCAGTGACATCTCTCCCGTGCTCACCCGACTCATTAAACTGATTATTTTAAGCATGTGACAGACTAAAAAAACCTCCAGTCCCTTATGTTTCCGCAAAACCTGGTGGTAGGGAACAGAGATCCCAAACAGCGGTCCTAATAAGGAAGGGCATAGACAGCCCAGTCTTTTTTTGGTGGTGTTTGTCAGAGAACCCGAATGCACACACCGAAAGGTCAGTCAGAATGCAGAGAGCGCGGGACAAGTTGCCGTCCCGACAAGCTGAATCTGAAAGGATTTTGGAAATAGAGCCTGAAATGCAAGATGTGAAGGATGGAGGACTCGTGGCAGCAGGCCGGAGGGAGAAGGTAAGGCCCCAGGGCAGCAACGGAGAAAGGGAAAAAAGCTGCTGTCCTCAGTGAAGCAGCGTTGGGAACAGGTCACAAGTGGTTTTAGAAATCTGGCTTTGTTCATTATTCCGTAACGGAGTCACACAATGGCCCCGAAAGCAATTTAGATCAAAGTAATAGCTTTTGGACTTTGCACTGGAGGTGTAAAAATCTGTAATCACCACGAACAAGTTTCAGATAACATAAGCCAGTCAGTAAGAAAACAGTTATTCCACTGGAACATAATAACTGACAACCGGATGACAGCTGGATGGAGGCTGCCGCTCTTGACAGAAGAAATCACAGTCAAGCTCAGGCAAATCAGCGCACCAAGCAGAGAGTTTTCCAGCCCCGTGTTCCTTAGGAGAAGACCTGCTAAGCTGCAAACTCACGCGGACCTCTAAGAATAAACGTGTTTGGTTTAGATCCTACGCTGTGCTGACAACACCATGAACAAACGGGTCATTGTGTCTATAGTGGAAACGAAGAGGAAGAAGGAGATGTGCAGGGAGAAGAAGTGGGAGTTTTGCTTTTAATAATGCTTCTATGAGTTATGGGAAAAGTCTGGGGGAGTATCAAGTAGAAATTTCCCGTAAGCCATGGTTTGCCGCCTTCATCAGCATCACATCCTTCTCAGAGTTCAGCTACAGCCACCAGTTTCTCACAGCAAGAAGATCTGAAGAGAGGATCTCCTGGTCACTGAAACCGTGTCTCAGTTACTACAGACTGATCGATCACAATCCCATTCACAAACCTAATCAAGCTTCACGGTACTCACATTTAGCTTCTTTTCCTCTTTGGTAACTGTGGAAACCTACTCCAGAATCTCAGACCTGGCCGAAAATTCCCATCTTCCTGCCCCATTTTCTGCAAGGCTACTTCTTATTTTCTTGTTTTCTGTTCCTATTTCTTATAAGGTTATTTCTCTCATAGGTTTGCAGAGGTCATTTATGTCCACATCTATCCTTTAAACAAAAGACTGATGCTCCTCTGCACATATTTCCACAGTTCATTTTCTTGAAGATGGGGATTATTGCAGATAAGGTCTTACCAAAGCCTTGTCTGGCTGCTGCATTAATACTTTCACGTCTAAGAAGAGTTACCTTGAAAAACAAATGCTTTTCACGGCTGCATCCGCCAGCGGCTCATTCATATTACAGACCAAGATGTTAAGAACTTTTCCTCCTCTGCTGTTTTCACATGGTGCTCTCATGGTTCGCAGCAAAACCCCCTCTGACTTCCCCGAACTGCATTTCATCCCATCCCTATCACTCCAGCTTCCCCATCACCACATCCTCCTTGTGCATCCTCTCTTTCAATGATGCTTCCCAGCCCTGCAAGGTTTCCTCAATGCCCTACTACTTTTTGTGTCGCTGTAAATAAATACAATTTTGAGCAAGATTACGTTTTTGATAGATGTTGAGAAACTCCGCTAACAATCCTGAGTCCACACTTTCTTTGTCAAAGCCACCTAGTGTTTCGTGCCTTCAGCCACTTCCTTCTCTACCGCGTTTCTCTGCTTACCTCTGCTCCATCATATTTGGGATTGGGCACAAAATCAAATCACAGGATGGTTTAAGTTGGAAGGGACCTTGAAGACCATCGAGTTCCAACCCCCCTGCCCTGGGCAGGGACACCTCCCACCAGCCCAGGTTGCCCAAGGCCACCTCCAGCCTGGCCTTGAACACCTCCAGGGATGGGGCAACCACAGCTTCTCGGGGCAACCTGCCCCAGGGGCTCACCAAACTCACAGGAAACAATTTCTTCCTAATATCTAATCTAGATCTGCCCTCTCGCAGTTTGAAACCATTCCCCCTCATCCTATCACTACATGCCCTTGTAAAAAGTCCCCCCCCCACCCCGGCTCTCCTGGAGCCCCTTTGGGCACTGGAAGGGGGTCTGAGGTCTCCCCAGCGCCTTCTCTTCTCAAGGATGAACAACCCCAACTCTCTCAGCCTTAGAGAAGTCCAGGCAGGTGAGGTCTAATGCACAGGGCTTTCTCATTCTGCACGCTCTCGGAGAGCTCGGCATTGCCACCGTTTCCAGCTCACATAAGCTGGAAGCCAACTGAGTATTGTCTACACATGCAAAAACAGGCAAGTACGCTCCAGCCTCCCTTCCTAACATCAGACAGATGTAGGAGATAACAGAAGAAAAATAACCCAAGGAAGACCTTACGCTGAAAATACAGTGCTAAACGGAAGTATTATCTATCGTCCTGGGAGGTGAGTGCCGGAAATAACAGCATGACCATCGTACGTTTATGAAAACCCGGCAACACCCACGGGGAAAGAAAGGCAGTCTCTATAGCCAAAAAAAAAAAAAAAAAGACACACCTCACAGCTCCTGCAATAAATATAGGAAACTTCACCCACAGTCAAGAGGCAATTATCCATCAACATCACTGAAGTACTACGTGTGCCACATCCTATGCTCTTGTCTGACTGGCAACGAGAGCCAGGCCTCCAGAAATCTTGAAGTTTCTGGCTGCATTAGAGCGGCAGTTCAATTTAAACAGCTGCTCATTCTACTCGGCATTTCCCATTCTGAAGAGATAGGAAGCAGTTTGAAAAATCTGTAGTGCATTAACGATTAAGGCTGAAAAATAATAAAAGGCTGAGTCAGACCTTGCTGTAATTAAAGCAAGAATCCCTCCAAGTGCAATAAATCAATATATAAGGTCCACCGCAGAAAATTACCTTTGAACACGGTACACACGTGTCCATGGTGGGACAAGGGCCAGGATTCTGGCCACCAGATCCACCAGAGTGCTGGGGGGGTAGCTCTTGTATCTTCCAGTCTTCCAGAGCTCGTACAGACCAGTGCCACGGATCACCAGCGTCGGATAGAGCTTCATGCCGTCTGGGCGAAAAGCAGGATTCTCAAAAAACTCCTGCAAAGGTGAAACCAAAAAAAGCAAGTCAGTGCAAAACAAACTACAATTCCTGGGGCTTCAGTGCCCCAACAAAACTAGTTTCAAGACAGGTTTTGTAAAAGACAATTGTAAGTACGTTTAAAGAATTACTGGCGTACATTGAGTTGCCGGTATTTATCCGTTTACGACATTTTTTGAAATGAAAAGAGCATGTTCTAGATTTAAAGAGAAGCCCACTAAAGAAAAAAAATCCACATGACAATGCTACGAGTCAAATCTGTACATTACTTCTACCTTTCAGCATGAATTCAATAGATATCGCACCATTTATTGTAACAGACTCTGCTCAGAATTAGAACAATAGAAATGAGTGTACTTATCTTCAATCTCAGCAGACCACATTTAGAGATTAATCAATGTGTCTGGGACACATCATTTGAATAGCAATGAAGAAAAACAGATTTATTCGACAACGATGTTCTGAACAATCCTGGAGAACGGGAGGACAAAATGTATCTCCTGCTAACTTCTATGACTAAATCCCAGCGCAGAACTGCAAATTGAGCAGCGCCAGCTCAGGCTACACAACAATCACCTTGGGTTTTTTGCAGATTCTATTTCAGTAATGACAATTAAAATAAAATCGCTTACAAAAAATCAAAAATGAGGCAAGGCACCCTGAACCAAGCTACCATTAAACTGACTTAAGCGACGACACGGCTCTCATTACAACAGAATCTATGGGCCAAACCTAATATCCGATTAGACTGTTGCACACTTGAAATCCACCGCTTGATCCCTCTCCAGCATGGGATTCTCTTCGTAGTAAAAAAAAAAATCACCAGGTAGTTAAGCTGGGTTAATGGCAGGCTATTGCGGTCCCACCAGTTGCCGCGCTAGCTTTAGGACTCACCAGCACTCTGCTGAAGGGCTTCGCCACATTCAGGTGGTTCAGACCCACTCAGACATTTTGCCACGTTTCCCACCACCGCTGTGTGTTAAAGCAGCTCCTGGAGCGCTTCCAGTTGGAATAAAGGGCCATCGGCAGCCTGCTGGGAGCAGGACCTGCCCAGCTGGGCGGCACTAAGCGGCTCCGTTGGCTCCCTGGGTTTCACAAACCCACACTTCAACACGGTAAAAAAACAGCAAATGGTCTGCTGCTAGCTTAAGGACACCAAAATGGGTCTGCACAGACTCGAATGCAGCGCAAGGACGGGAAGAGGCGAGCAAGGTCAGGGAAACGGCAGGACCACGTCAGCCCAGGTGGTTTCTGGCAGAGTCTCTGTCTGAGCCCGGGACCGGCTCCAGCAGCCCCTGCCCCGCACACCCACGCTCCCGTGCCACCCTGCCCGCCGCGCAGCTACCCAGAAAAACCGACCAGAAAGATAATCGTGCTGAAAAAAGAAACCAGTTCCCAAAAAAAAAAAAAAAAAATCTCTTCCAGGCAGAGCAGACCTCCTGAGCCATTTATCCACATCCTCACTAACGGAGAGATGGGGACAATTGAGCTTAGGAGACAAAAGCGTGGATGAAGTCCACGCTGCTGCTGCAAAATTAACTGTCAAATCCTGCATTCATGGTCTGATGAAGCTTCAGTCATCACCATCCCAGCAGCACCACTGCCTTAAGCAGCAGTGAGTCCCAGCTGGCCCCATTAAGAAAAAAACAACACAAGGGGGAGGTACCGGTTTTAAAATTTTGCAGGGTTGTTTTAACCGGGATCAACTTCGACAAATGGACCACTCGGTGGATAAAGAACTGGCTGGACGGTCGCACTCAGAGTTGCAGAGTCCATCTCGACGTTCAAGTGGAGAGCAGTGATGAGTGGTGTTCCTCAGGGGTCGGTACTGGGACCTGTACTGTTCAACATCTTTGTCGTGGACATGGACAGTGGGGTCGAGTGCACCCTCAGCAGGTTTGCCGATCACACCAAGCTGTGTGGTGAGGTAGACACGCTGGAGGGGAGGGATGCCATCCAGAGGGACCTGGACAGGCTGGAGAGGTGGGCCCAAGCCAACCTCATGCAGTTCAACAAGGCCAAGTGCAAGGTCCTACAGCTGGGTCAGGGCAATCCCAGGCACAACTCCAGGCTGGGAGGGGAATGGCTGGAGAGCAGCCCTGAGGAGAAGGCCCTGG